ACTATTTGAGTAGACCATCCTATCTAAGGGTAGATTACAGGAAAAAGAACATACCCCTGGCATACAATTACTTAAAATTTTACCAGATCTTTCCATTATAATGTCAGGAATGTGAACATTAGTACTGAATTTCCCCTGTAAAGAGAGCTGGCGGAGGGATTCGCCTCTAGAGGAGGAGGACGAAGGTACAAGCGTTTATCCGTAGAGAGAATGTGGTATTGAGTTTGCCAGAAACAGTACCTGCATTAGACAGCAGCCTTCTCCTTTAGCGCTGACAAACAGTCCTGTTGGAATGCTGGGTATCTGAACAAAGAGAGAGAGAGAAAATGCATGACTTATCAATCAGATTACCGGCACAAGCAAATACATTAACCGACTGGCCTCTGTCCAACATTAAAATTACACGCATTTAAACTGACACTGCTAATCACAAAATGGGGTGATGTGCCAAGCAGATGCTGAGAGGAGGGGCGTATCAAGTTCAGGCCCTCACTGAAAATACCTCTCTGACAGTAGAATGTAGAGATGTCAGTAGTGTTTGTGGGTGATTTTTACCACAGCTTTTTGAAGAATCTTCTTATTGTCCCATTGAAGCTCAAACGTTTCTTGGAAATCCAGATTAGTGGAAGCCAGAGATATGGTGAGATTGACCCCACCCACATATGACAGGATGGCATATTCAGACAGGGCTTGCAATGCCACACAAGTATCCTGTATTTGAATAAAAAAAGAAAAGAACCCAAGTTTAATAACGCACAATTAACCTAAACTCTGTTTGTGCACTCTAGTGTATTACTTGTATCCAACAGAGTAGAATGCTATTATAAATGCAACCATTGTTTGATTGAATGCATTGCATTGTGGGATACATAATTTGCACACTTTTGCACATGAGATTGTTGGGGGAAAGTTCATTTTCCACACATGAACTAGTTCAAAGTTCAGTTCGCACATTTTAAAATTAACTAGTTCATTCATAGTTCTTTTTTTCCATATGTTGCAAGATTTTTTTTATTGCCACAGCCCATATTATTTATTTATCGACGGGTAAAGTTTGCAGAGAAATGTATGATTTTTCCCATCCTCACCGACCTCGTCATAAAATCCTTTTAAAGGGTTAGTTCACCCAAAAATGAAAATTCTGTCAGTATTTACTCGCCCTCATGTTGTTACAACCCTGGAAGACCTTCGTTCATCTTCGAAACACAAATTAAGATATTTAAAATATTAAGATCGCTCCTGCATACTAGTCCATAGGCTTCTTGAGGGAATGACACTTGATGGCCTCGAAAAGTCATTAAAGACATCGTTAAAATAGTCCAAGTGACTACAATAGTCCAATTCTGTTATTGTACGTCACATGCATCACACACATGACCAGCGTCGGCCAATAGTGAGCCTTCGTGTGACGTAGCTCTACGCTATTACACTACGTTAACTGACTACAGGCCCATAGAGAAGGAAGTAAATATTTGAAATAAAGTCGTTATTTTTGTTTGTTTTGGTGCACAAAAAGTATTCTCGTCGTTTGATAAACTTAAGATTAAGCCCCTGTAGTCACTTGGACTATTTTAACAATGTCTTTAATGACTTTTAGATGCCATCAAGTGTCATTCCCTCAAGAAGCCTATGGACTAGTATACAGCAGTGATCTTAATATCTTAAATATCTTAATTTGTGTTCCGAAGATGAACGAAGGTCTTACGGGGTTGGAACAACAGTAGGGTGAGGAAATACTGACAGAATTTTTGGGTGAACTAACCCTTTAAATGATCATACGACGCCTCCTCGCTCGCTGCTTTGTCGACGGCGGCCGCGGTGCGACACTGGTGGCTGGTGTTGCCAGATTGGGTGTTTTTTTGCTACATATTAAGGCCTGTGTTTACGAGTGTTTTAGCCGGGTTTTCGCCTGGAAGGCTCAATAGAAATCTGGCACCCTATTGTACGAAGTTAAACTGAGAGAGCATGCGTCCACAGACACCAAAATGAACGCGTTCACAGTATCGTTCATCAGGCAGTAATAAAGTACGTTCAGTTCACGTTCGCCCAAAAGATGAACGTGTTCAGGCACAACACTGTTGGATTGTATACATACTGCACAATAAATAGAAGTAGTATACAAACAAAATGTAGCCCAATAACAAGGACGGAAAAACGTATTTGTCACCTGAGTTGAGGAAAAACCTCCCAGGGCGTTCCTTTGTTTTGACAGCCATTTAACTACAGGTAGGGCCGATGCCACGTCACCCAGAAGCGTGTACGTGAGTAGACCATAAGCCGTCATCTCAACTTCAGCAGACACAACTAAAAAAGCAAAGAAAACAAGTTTGTTAAATTGAATATCGTCTGTGAGTTAACTGATTGATGGATTGATTGATACAGACACCTGATTGGGAGAGGCCATCGCTGAAGCCCATGAATGTGTCCTCATCCGTTACAGTGCTTCCAGTTAAACTCCAATGAGTGAAACCATCTGCAAAGATAGCACAACTGGAATCAACAACATGCTAATTGCAACCAATAACTATTTTTTAATACACCTTGATAAATTACCTTGGGTGATGGCCATGTGGTTCAGTCGCTTCAAAGCCAATGGAGCATATGGACTGCGAAGTAAAGTGAGTGCATATGCGGACAGAGCAGTGGTGTACGGGTCGTCAGCAGAGTATGTGTTGCTCTCCAAAAACGCCTTTGCTTTAGCAACTGCAACCTTTTCATCCTGAATAAAAACACCATTCAGAACAATTCATTGGCTGAAGATAATAGAGTTAATCTGAATAATAAAGTGTCTCTGAACATACTTATTACTACGGTGTAGAGAAAAAATGATCAAATATGTTAAGACATCGCTTCGCTTTTACAGGTGCTAAATTTCAAAATACCTTCAGTACAAATCCATTTAAATAATTCAGCTTTTTCTTCCCAAGAGATGTACAACCTCGCTAATGATCTTTCATCTGCTTAGCATCGGCAGACTGACTTTTATCTTTACCATATGTCCTTTTTCTCATGGAACCTGGACGCTAGCCCTGAGCAGGCATGCACGCTAATCTGACTGGTATTCTTTTCATCAAGTCGATTTGAGAGTGAGAGATGTGGATCTTTGAAGTTAATCATTTTGTCTCTACTTCGAAGGCTACAATGCCACACATTACCAAAGCGAAATGTGTAGGTGGGAAAGACTTAGCTCTAATCTTCAGCAGGAAGTTATGAGGTGCTGTTTTGCTAAAGGAGTAGTTAACTTTTAAAAAAACATTTGCTGATAATTTTCTCACCCCCTTCTCATCCAAGATGTCCATGTCATTCTTTCTTCAGTCGAAAAGAAATTAAGGTTTTTGATGAAAACATTCCAGGATTTTTCTCCATATAATGGACTTCAATGGTAACCAAACGGTTCAAAGGGTTCAAGGTCCAAAAGACAGTTTCAGTGCAAACTGTTCAAAGGTCTTTAAACGATTCCAGACGATGAATAAGGGTCTTATCAAGCGAAACGATCACTCATTTAATAAATAAATAACAAAGTTTAAGTTTTATAAGCTCAAATCGCCTGATTCTCCTGATCGAACTCGTTCATGAAAATGAATGAATTTTTTTTCGTGTCATTTGGTTCATTCAACAAACGAAATGAACAAATTGACTCGGGAAAAGATTAGTTCATTTTGAACAGGAGAGTCACGAACGCACATCACAGAACAGAGCAAGGTGACCATTTAAGCTTATAAAACTTAAACTTTATTATTTAATTTTTTTTAAATGACCGATCGTTTCGCTTGATAAGACCCTTATTCATCGTCTGGAATCGTTTAAAACCCTTTGAACAGTTTGCACTGAAACTGTCTTTTGGACCTTGAACCGTTTGGTTACCTGTAAAGTGCATTATATGGAGAAAAATCCAGGAACGTTTTCATCAAAAACTTCTTGAAGAAAGAAAGACAGGGACATTTTGGATGAGATGGGGGTGAGTAAATTATCAGCAAAAGTTTTTTTTAAAAGTGAACTACTCCTTTAATGAAAACTCAGATTGTACAAATGACTGAACCTACTCAAATTTGTCTGATTTGTCAAATTTGGCTGTCAAACAATTCAAATATTTAAATAATGATTAACATCATCATGCAGGTCTAATTGGTTCCAATTAATTGCATGCAAACATGATACCTTTGACAGCTTGTTTTTGTTAACAAGTTGCATTTTTTAATGACAACGAACGTATGTATGCATTAACTGGGCAACATTGTCATGGTGCATTTAATGGAATTGTCAAATCTCTTATGTTTGAAGAAATGAATGTAAGCAGGGGGAAAATTTCAAAAGAATTCCATTGTCTCTGCATGTCCTTATCATACATCTTTAGATTTAGACAGCAAGCTTCTAAGTTCCATATTAGATTACTTATCACAAGGCTGAAAGAAATACTGTTGATTCTCAGCCAGCACATCCATCATCTTACGAAGCAGGAATGCCCTCTTAACACGGATCCCGGAAATTTGTGTGAAAAGGTTGTCAGAGACCTCACTGAGAGGTAGTTTAATGGGATACAGGGTAAACAAGATGTGGAAGATCTCTCACCTCGGTTGTAATCCCAGTTTCCATAAGAGCTGCCACCACATACGCAGTCAAGGCGATCTTTCCATGAATCCCACCCTTAAAAGGAATTGGACAGAGCAACTTTCACAAGAGTGATGATAAATAACACCTCTATCCAAGCTTCCTCAGTTTGACGAGAACTTGTAAACCCAAGGGCTACTGGCTTAATTATACAATGTTCTGAGACAACTAAACAGTGTTTTAAATAGTTTTTCTAGAACTTCTAGAAAGGATCTCTATCAAGTATAAACATATCTTGATCTAAGCTATCCTTTTTGTATAAGGATCCTAGAGCACCACTGCATAGAATTCCATATGGACCTTTCCTTGTTCACCCATGTCCCTGAAATCTCAAAGGTAGTCTACATTTCTCAGAATTGAACAATAAGTAGTCTCCATTTATGTACCTGCAGGTCTTTGTTGAGTATCCGGCCCATTGCTGGGAACGATCCTTCGTTCTTTTGATGAGTGATCAGCCAGGATTTGGCTGAACGTAATTCTTCAGGATCAATGAAGATGAAGCCACGTGACTGGGCAAACGATTTCAGTACGAATGCAGTCAACCTGGAGGACCAAGAGGTAACAGATACCAACACTGATGCCTTATACAAGTTCATTCTAGGCAAGAAAGTTCAAAATCAGTCTCATAAGGTATGACAATTGACATTAACCACAAATTGTCCACTGTCTTTGTCCATTACTACTTTCTTTCTTGGCCTATCAAACTTACTCAAACACTTGCCTGAAAGTCAAGCTACACAGTCAATATATGGAGTGTGGATGTGAACTGCCAAATCAAGTATGTTTCTGCATGCAGGAATACATACATCCATAAACTGAAAGCTACTGAAAACATCACAGCAACGATGAACTTTCATAAGTGTAAGAAACAGCTAATGGAAATGCTGAGTGATTTTGCCTTGTAAATGCTTTCAGCTCTGCGAGTCAAATGAACCAAGGCTCAACAAACTTGTAAACCATGTTCTGATTTGTTTTAACTCAACATGGCATGTCATGACAGCATTCCTGAAAGCAGCCAGATGATGATACAAGTGACCTCATTTAAAATAAAGGTCAATAAATAAACAATCATCGAGTTTTTTCCAAAGGCATGAGCTGTAGGGATGTCAAGACAAACACCCAAACAACTAACACTACAGAGTCCTTGCAGGCCTGGCCTTAAATGTTATGTTCCCCAAGAGAGGTCGTAAGACTGGAGCATTGAGCCTTCAGGAATTTTTATAATGTTAAGTAATACCGTGTCAGAGTCTTTAACTGCCTGACCCAAGGGAAAGTTTCTAGAAAGTGTTCAGATGATTTAAAGAGCAGAAAAGTGAGAGGGGACACCCCTGATTCTTCTACTTAGGCTTGCACAAGACATTTAATCAGAAGTTTGCAAGGTGCCTTTCTCACAATGTGATCCTTGTAAGTAGTCACCTTACTTAATACTTTGGAATGCTCGGAAACCACTGCCAGGACTCTCAAGGCAAACAGGGCTCTTAAAATGATCCCGAAACATCTGTGTTGAACCACTTCAAGCATTCAATAACAAACTCGAGGTTGAAGAGCTACTAACCTTAAGCATATCATTTTTGAATGTGGTTTTAAGGCAGCCCAAAATTTCAACAACAGAATGTGACCTTCGTAATATTAAACTGGGTTTTATTTCTATCCATGTCCACAGAAATTGTTGTTGACCTCTTTTCACTTTTACCTGTAGCCAGGATATTCAACATTTCTACATAAGTGGTCCATGAGAGAAAGTCTTTCAGGTTCTAGAGAAACCTTACATGAGTTTGTGGGATTGCTGGGGGTTACTAGGGGATGTAGAGTAGATTACTGCCGCATGTGGCTCACATTGGATCCAGACATGCTGATGCCAGAAGATGGGTTGCCAGGTCTGCTCTAAACATCTTTCGAAGACATCCACACACATTACGAAACTCTGAACAGGCATTTATAAATACAAAATTCCACTGAGTTCCAGAACATTAGCTGCTCTTTCCACTGAAGCAGATTAGGTTTGAAGGCCTTGGCATTACTAGAGCACCAAGGCGCTGATGGGGACATTAAATACTTGCTGAACCATTATGGCCAATCTTTTCATTAGGAACCACAATTTCCTGTCCTATCATTCAGCCCAAGCTGGGAAATATTAGCCCAGCTCTGGAGCTGCTGTTCACCTGGCAATAAATGATCTGTGCTAATAGCTGAAACTGGACTAGAAACAAAAGCGGGGTTGTTGTGGACTGGTAAACAGTCTCAGACGAATGCACAATCTTAGAGAGGCTTTGACATTCCCATTGGATCATGTCCCAACAGCTTTAAAATGGAATCCCCCATCAAATCAACTAGTTAATGCAGAACTCTCAGTGGTGTCAGGGTTTCTCAATTCATTCTTACCTAAATTTCTTTCTCACCTGCATGGACATTTTCTCCACTCACACATGCTATGTCAATGCATAATTGAATTTTCCAAAAACAGCTAAAACTGCTGTGGTTACAAGGAATATGGTGGGTAATTTACAATATAAGCATTAGGCCAGTCAAGTGCGTTTTTAGATGACTAGTTAAAATGGACTAGTTGACTAGTAGTCATGCAAGTTTATACAAGAAAAAAGGGGTACAGGTATTAGGCATGTGCCCTACTTTTAGTGAATCCAATAGCTAAGGCTAACTTAATTTTCCTGTAACCCGGGCTCCTGTGTGTCCGACGGTGTTGTAGGCAATATAGTGGGGGTAGGGGGTTTTGACCTCACAGAGGGCATAGTTAATTAAGGCTGTTCTAGACCACGGGAAGAAATCCCCCAAAACAACCAATAAATCTGTACTCCGGGAGCTTATTAGTAGTTTGTTAATAAGGCTCCAGGGTACAGTCAGCTCGAAGTTTTACAACCCATGGCTCTATTAAAAGTATGACAACCATTCTTAAATGAATCACTTCAATTTTTGGACAATGCATGTCTTTGCATTTTTAGGGAACACAAACATCACATACGTTCAATCTGAGGTTTAGCTTTCCATAAATCAGAGTAGCATGGTGTCAATATATGAAAAAATAATAAAACATGGAATACTTGAGATGAGGGGTTAAATAAAGGACATACTAGAACCAACTTCTTAGCAGACATGGCATGTATAGACTTAGGCTTACCACATGCTTCCGGAGGAATCTCTTTCCCCAAAGGCACTGTAGGAACCATCCTGCCTCTTGTATGTCAGTTGCCTCTGATAACCTGCCAGGTACATTGGAAGACCCAAGGCATTGTTTGCACTGCGTTTGCACAGATCTTCAATCACTTTTAAATAATTCTTCAGATGATTAACAATCAAGAAGACGCATTTAAGAATGAAGGCATGTTCTGCCTTGTACCTTGCAGTAGGTAGTCAGTGGCCTCTGCTTCCACCTCTGGGCTAAGCTGATGGGTTTTCTGAAGGTACTTGAGCACAAAGACATTGGGAGCAAAGTGGATCATGTTCTGCTCCCCACAACCAAAGGGAAGTCGGAGGAGCTTGTCAAGGTTATTGAGGGTGGGCCCCATGACATCACCTAGGACACAAAAGATTGTCACTACAGTAATTATACATGCCACCTAACAAACTTTAATGTCAAGTTTTGGTGTGTTCTGTTATGTAAGAATTCATCCTCACCAATCATGGCGGCGGTGGCTCGCTCTGAGCCTGGCACCACGTTGTGTGGGACTCCTAGGGTGAAAGCCTCATTGTGGTTCTCATCTGCATCTTCTTTGCGCCAGATCCTAAACTCACCTACGGAACCCCAGCCAGTGGAGAAGCCAATATGCCGCACATGAGCAGGGAGTGGTCCGGCCCACTGCATGATCAGGGTCTCACTGGAGGGCTCTAGGCCATGGCCAACCTATTACAAGAAAGATTATGTAACCAGACTATAGTTATTAGCTGATCACCAACCTAGGCCAAGTTGTTCTGGTCTTTTTTCGATAGTTTCAAAGGGGTTTTGGTCACCAGCTAGCTTTCAGAAACATCCTGGCAACACAATGAACTGATCTGAACTGCGCATGACGTGGTGGAGATTTGTATGCATTCATTCAGAGGAAACTAATCAAGTATGACTACACTTTAATTCAATAATAACATGGAAACCAATTAAGTTCTACTCAAAAAGCAGTTTGATGAACACTGCATTAAACAGGCACAGGGAGCTCATAAAAAACAATTGCCAAGCCTTGGCAATAGCCAACCACATCACATTAAGACTACATAGTTTGGAATCTCCCATAAACAGACCTTGGTATTGAAAAGAGTTTGTCATTAAATGTTAGACCATCTAAAATGGAATACGACCTATGCTACAATGAAAAAGTTCACAATATCAAAACAAATATAGCCCCTGCTATGAGCAAGTACTTCAGTGTCGGATCTGAATCTTTTTGTGCCAGTGCTAGGCAGTGGTCATAAATCACAGTGTCTTTGCAGTGACATTAGCCAGTAGAATATGACCTCATTAGTATGCAGTGCTATGGAGCTCAACAAAACAAACTACATTTTATAATTCTCCAAGACAGTAGCGAAGCGGTTCTGAAAATGGTGTACTTTTTTAGTAACAAGCTAAAATTGGGCAAATTTACCAAATGAACAAGCCTAACAAAATTGATTTATGATAATCATAACTGTAACTGAATTATGTTCTAACAAAGTCAGCTGGAAGTGTGTAATGGTCCTAAACTTTTTTGTACCAAAGCGAAACTTGGTAAGAGCCACTATCGCCATGATCTGAACATACTTGGTCAACTTAAAGGAAGCGACCCCTTGTGGTCATAAAATAGGGTAATTTGTAAATATGCTTATAACCTCCTAAAATTTGACCTAAAGTCGCATCCTGAACTACCCTCTATATGGTAGCCATCAAATCAAAAACTGCAACTTATAATTCTTTCAACTTACCTGCACCCCCCCACCTCTCCAGCTGATCCAAAAGCTTCGGAATTCATCCCAGGATAGGATTGCTGGTGTTGGGGTGCTGGCTACAGGCTCTCCCATCTTACCCTGTGAGATCCAGGAGCGTGAGTTTTGCCTTCCACCCAGCACAATCTCCACCATTTCCGTAGTGTCATGTGCGCTTGGTGAGAGGGCAATGTGGGCGTCATTATGGCTTTTAATGGCCACTTGAACGTGTGCAACTTTGGCTGGCTTCTTCACGTATTGATACTCGTACTTGTTGGGTGTGGAGATGTGGATGCGTTCTGCGAAATGTGAGGGTAGAAATATTGGAGAATAAATTTCCCATTTTTGAAGCAAGCTACTAATACTATCAGTGTGAACAAATTAAAGAATTAATAAAGAACACAAAACACTTGATTACCGTTTGGGCAGAAAAAGACGCTATACGTGTATTCTCTAGGCAAACCTTCAGGCTACGGAAAAACAAAAAGAGAGGGATATTTAAGCAAAATACAAAAAAAAAAAAAATCACATAACTCCTCGGCACACTTCTTTTTAAACTTTGTTCCGCTCACATATTCAG